ATAAAACATTTTCTACTTGTTCCTGCACAATTGCACTATAATACAACACTTTTGATATTGAATTGATTACGGATTGTTTTATTGAACTCAAATATTAATTTAGTTTTAAGTATATGTGTGTTCTCTGCGACATATAAGTGATGTATGTCAGTCAGCTACATACATATCATCTGTACGTTCGTGTATATTCATTAAAAATTGGATATCTTTATTCTATTTTTTGTAYATATTTGTATTTCAGAAAGTAAATCATCTTTAGCTATTAACAGCAAAATAAGGTGCAAGTGAAAATAAAGTAACTCGACATTTTCTAATTTATAGCAAATAACCTTAACTATTGCTGTATGGTGCATACTGGGCACACATTTTTGGAGCATTCTGCGGATTCAATTTTAGGTTAAATTTCCATAAGAAAATCCTTTATTACTATTTTGTTGTGTTATTGGGCTGTCTGACTCACATAATTCTGTTTTTTCTCTACGTTTCGACGCCATTCTGGTCGTCTTCCTCAGGATTTTGATTGGATCTTGGTTATTAGTGGCTTCCAAAAAAATCCTTTATGATGATAAGTATTAGTTACTTTTTCGTATGTTTTGGCATTGTTATTTGGCCCTTCAGAACTGTGCAAATTTACAACAGAAACACACTCGTGTGTCCGGTTTCTAAGTTTTTAATTTAATCCAACTTTAAGTTTCAATCTTGTTCATTCTTTTCCTTAAGTTTGTAATTAATGCTTTTCATGTAAAGTAAGAACAAGCTTTTGTTTCTGTAAGTGTATTACACGGAAACCATGTCATCCACCACAAGGTTGTCAATCGAATGTTTCACCTGGCAAGTCGTTTCAATCTTCAGGCAGTTTATATTGATATAACAACTGTTTTACACAAAAATTGAACGCTAAAATATTACTCTTAAAATCCAGTTAAGAGTATTAAAACTTTAAAAAATACGACGACGTTTCGACGTTGCTAACGTCTTATCGAGTCAAAAAGGCTAAAAAGAAGAACGAGTAAATATAAAATACAATTATATAAGAAGCCCAAAAGAAAAAGTGTCATAGTTCATTAAGTAATTATTTTTGCACGAATAGGGAATGATTGGGTGTTTTAAGATACGCAATCAGATCCTATTCATATACAGAACATATGTTCACACATTTCAATTTTTCAGTAAAGCGTTTTACCAAATCCTTACTTATTTGATAACTGTTTATGATTTAAAAGAGGAAGATTTTAAAAAGGTCAAAATTACATAATAACTATAAATGATCGATGAAATTGCATGCATCGTGAGGGAAATAAACGACAATTCAATAGTGCAACACTTACATTAAAATCGTGTCAAACTACACTTGACTTTCAGCTTATCATTTTACTGTATTTTAGTAGCACCCAACTCTGATCAATCGACGCACATCCATTAAGTAAACGTCGATTTTATTGGAGAAAGGGTTTTGTATCGAGTTAAGAAAAGAAAAAAAAGAAAAAACAAACATTTCCACCTACTGTTTGCTCTTCACCATATGTCAAACCAACAATGATTTCARTTTTAGTCCCATTTCTATCGAAACTTAAATTATTTAATGAGACCCAMGGTTTAATGATTAGATGTGTTCCACGCGTGGGAAAGTTTAGTTTTTGTAAGTTAACGGCCTTACCTTTTCCTCCTTAGCAAGACCAGCGTGCAGATTAGGTGCCTCTTTGCACTAAATACTCCTCAATTTTACTATATTATTCAATTAATGACGTAAATGGTAAACAACCAATCATATTCAAGGATGTGACGTCATATCACATGAGAAGAAATACGTCAAGTCCCGTATGACCAAATGTAGTCAAGATACTTGGCTGCATCCTCGGCTTGTGCGGTAAAGACAGAAAAATGTACGCCGAAATACACATGATTGCCATGAAATGTTTCTCAGTTCATCTTACTTTAATATGTTTTTGATACGTTCGTTAGAAGGTGTTGAGATTGTAAACTGTTCAGGATTAATGTAGTTGGAATAATTAGGGTGACATACAGGCTGAGTGACATAGTTAAGTGCGGTTAAAGTAGTTCTCTAGCTGTGAGTGAGGATGTTCAATTCCAGTTAACAATTTTTGTACTACACCTGCGAGCTCTAACAATTGCACTCGCTTGAGGACTCGCCGTCGATGTACACCACAAATTTTGCACAACTCGATCATACAAGCATCCAAGAAGACAGTGCGAAGCAGCGTTCACCTCCCAAAGAGGACACACAGGAAGCCCATAATTCAATGAGTTGGGGTGCCTGTGCCATCCTACCGCATGCAACATGGAGTATWTCCTTGAAGTTTTTGATTTCCCGCTTGCTGCTCTGTTTTCTTCACTTGTCCTTGGCATTTTAGTGATCTATCTGCTTTTTATTAGAAAGCAAGAGACTGCACTATTCAAAGAAGTTACRGATGCAGTTGGCCGGAAGAGAGTACAGATATTTGAAGGCGAATTTGAGCRTGGTGTCCATGACAAGTTGTACTTGTTTGGCGAGGCTGGGCTTRGTAACGTCGTCTTCATCGAATCTATGGTTCCACTACAAAAGTCAGATCTAGTGAAAGCTTTTTCTACTCTAGCTAGAGTTCATCCTCTTCTACGAATGAGATGTGTTTGGGAAGGCAATCGTCGTTTTTTGACAGAAATGGATAAGTTTAGCGAAAAAGAAGTATTGTTCTMTGAAGAAAACAGCGATGATTGGTTGGAAAGGTTTGAACAAGATTTACAGAAAGGCTTTGATTTAGCTCGTGGACCATTATGGCGTGTTGCAAGGATTAAAGAAAGCTTTGATTCCRCAAACAAGAAGTATACCAATATCATTCTGTTCAGTATTCACCACTCYATCTGTGATGAGATGTCAGTTTTGACACTGTTGGACCAACTTGCAGACATTTTGGATAAARTTCACTTCAACAACTTTGAAGAAGAAAATGTACAGTCGTTGCCTCTTTTACCACCATTACTTGAACTTGTRAAGCATCATACGCATCTCTCATGGTGGCAGAAGGTTGTCCTTCAAGTCAGTAACAAATTACAATCTAAATCAAGTGCRCAGTACACTTTCCTTGACATTSTCCRACCTCCTTTGCTACAGAACCCATCCATGATGGCCAAAACACACATCATTCCTGGRTCATTGACAGAAAATCAAACTACTTCCTTARTAATGAACTGCAAGGCCAACAAGTGCACWGTATCAGGTGCATTGGGTGCATGTTATGCCATCGCAGTAGGAAAAATGTTGGCAGCTTTTGATGAAAACCCTGTCACAATGRCCCTTGGTTTCCCTGTGAATACAAGAAAAGGTTGCAAWCCTGTCGTCAAGGATAATGAAATTGGTCTGTTTATTGGYATTGTATTTCTCTCAATTTCCCTCCCTGACAATTCATCTCCASAACAGTATTTMTGGAACCAAGCACAAAAKATCTCAGATGGTATAAAGAGAGAARTTCATAGCAACAAACAATATTACTTTTGTACWCTTTTRCAACATGGTTTGGCTGGTCCRGTGCAGGATATCAAGGCAGCAAAGAAAAATCCCAAATATGCTGGACGATATCCCAATTTTGAGCTAACCAACTGTGGAAATATGGCATTCAATCAGCAAAGARTGTACAAAGTAAAGAGAGTGCATTTTGCTGTTGCACAAGATGTTGTTGGTCCACAAATCACTATATCATCAATATCTGTARGTGGACAACTCCACTACTCCGTGATTTACTGCAATGCAGCAATCCTTGAAGAACATGGAAAGAAGTTCTCACAGCTTTTTCATGAAACTATTMTTGAACTTGCTTGTTGAAAACAAGATATCAAAAAATAGATGACTAACATTTTGTTCACAAGTATTTCTATTGATTTTAGACTTTGTAGCTTTCTTACATGTAAAAGATTCAAAAAATAGATACAAATTATTTAGGAAACGCATAGAGATAATTTTGTTTCAAGAAATATAGAGTTATTCATATACATAACCGATTCTATTTTGTAGAAATGATTTAAAGAAATAAATGTATGGGTTACCTGTGTGATTAGTTATTAGTCTGTCACGGTCAGGGCAGGAACGCCTGTGTGTTTTTGTATATATTCATTCACGGAAATCCATCACGAAAGTCTTTCAGAGTTCAGGTAAATTCTTTTTCAAAAACTTTAAGAACTTTGCTCTTCTTGTCATCTTTCATTAATTCTGTACATGTTAAATCTGGATTTTATTGAAAAATCAAAAGATATCCGAAAATTCGTGTAACAAAAAAAGGAAATGAACATATATGAATGCCATCGCGCGACGTATAAAAACGAGGAGGCTAGGAACTGTTTTGAAGGACGATCTGATGGTCTAAAGCTTTTGAGAACATAGTATGATGTTAAWAAGAAAGGGAAAAGAACAGAAGCTATAGTTTCGTCTGAAATGCCCCTGTTTCTTTTGCTAAGTCTGTGCGTGACGAACGCAGAAAAATCTACATTTGGTGACTTCTGGGGACTTCTCTGGACACAAGCTTTTATTCCTAATTGCGTTAAGTAATCGGTGACATATAAACRCTTTAGCACCCGCAAAGAAGCACCCTCAAAATGTAAAGTGATGTTCGTCTTGCCATTTTACTTTTTAGTTGATTTTAAGTTATTTATATAGTTAAAAACTAGATGATTTTTGTATCTATCGTCTAATTCTTTTTGTTTTAAGTTGTAGTGTTATAAACATGGCAAGACAGACTGGACAACTTCTTAAACAACTRCGATCACTGATGAGAGGGAACATAAAGGCAAACATAAGGGAACCTATACAAGCATATATCATTCCTTCATGTGATGCACACCAGGTAATAAAAGTTCCTACAATATAATAGTTCTTCACTATATCCTGCCCACTTCATTACATCTGCAAGTGTCTGGGTCTGCACTGTTCCAACCTAATTCCCAGGGCCTTTTTCCTGAGAGCTGTAAAAGCCCTGCCATTATGGCCAGTAAACCATGGATTTTGATTGGTTAACTTTTTTGCATAGAAGCAYCCAGGGTGTCATGTGTAATGCCCAGGCTTTCTCTGTCCACCATTTTGAAAATTGTGACCAGAGGAGTCCTGGTTATTAGACTGGCTCTGTCTATGTTTTGCTTTCACAATAATGATTATTATAAAGTTATTGATAATTCTAAAAGATTCTATAATTGTTATGYATCTAGAGTGAATATTTAGCTAACTGTGATCTTCGACGAGGGTTTATRTCTGGTTTTGATGGGTCGGCAGGTAAGGCTGCAGTAAGTTATAATTAAGAATACAATGATAATTAATTGTAATTCTTCACTTACTTTTGAACATTCAGGTACAGCAATAGTAACAATGCAAAAAGCAGCTTTATGGACTGATGGAAGATACTTCCTACAAGCAGAAAAACAACTGGATGCTAATTGGACATTAATGAAGGATGGTAAGTGACGTACTATAAATAAAGTAAACAAAGTCGAGAAAGAATGCTGTAAAGAGAAAGAACAAAAAAAATGAGGAAAAGGATAGAAAGGGAAAATGGGAGAATGGTCTACTTTGAGAGTGTAGCTTGAGTAACTATGGCATTTAGTGTAAAGCACTGCGTGTAGTAAGTTAGCAAAGTGGAGAACTTTAAGAAAATTGTTAGAAAAAGGAGAGAACAATCTTATAACTCTCTCAATTAATTCTTTAAGGTTTACCAGACACTCCAAGTCAAGAAAAATGGTTAACTGAGGTGTGACAATCATTCAATGAACTCTTATTAATCTGTAAAAATATTCCTTATTTTGTGTTTTGTCTGACAGGAACTTCCCTCAGGGTCAAAGGTCGGTGTTGATCCATTCCTTATGTCACATGGTGAGTATCATGTAGATATATCTGCATGTTTCCAAGTTGGAAAACAAAAACACATTTATGAGGAATATTGTCATTGCACACTATATATAAAGAGAGAATAAGCAAGACTGTTCTGACATTGTTCGTAATTGTCTTTCCATCTACCAACAGCTCAGTGGGAAAAGATGGCAAAGGTAAAGTCAGTTCTTCAATTATAATAGACTGCATCCGATATTACAAAACTTCAATCACAATGCTATCTTTGCTTTCTTATTCATCTGCATCATTATTGTTCATCATTAATTATTGCCATAATGACCAATACCGTGATAATCACAATTACTACCACAATCATTGCTATCATCATCAACATCAACAACAACAACAACTTCATTGTTGTTATCCACCCTATCATACCACTTCTGCCTCATCACTATATCTCATCACATTTGCCACACCATATGACCTCAATCGCTTTACAACATTGTCGTCATCATCATAGTGTACATGATGCTCGTCATAATATTGTTTTATGCTCTTGTTGCCAGGTATTAAACTCAGCAGGATTATCATTAGTTGCCATAGATACTAACCTGGTAGACATGATATGGCAAAAACATGACCGACCCTCCCCTCCCTCAGATGGAGTAACTGTCCTTGGTATAGAATACACAGGTAGTCATGGTAATACTGCTGAATCTCTTGAGTTAGTTTGACCTGACAAGATGTGTTTGTCAGGTAAAACATGGCAGCAAAAGATCAAAGAAGTACGCTTGGATCTCACCAAGAAAAAGGCGTACGCCTTTGTGACTACAGCGCTGGATGATGTGGCTTGTAAGTGCAGATAAGTTAAATGACATTAGTGGTCGTCCAAGGTATATGTTTTTTGTCATGAGGGGTTAGTTTGGTGTCTTTTGATAAGTTGTCAGGAAGTGCTTTTTAAAAGTGGTTGCTAAGAAGTTGCTAAGGGATTGTTTGATGGCATTCCAGGAAGCAGCATGTGTAAAATGAAGTGGTTGGTAAGGTACCAGTATGTAATTAATGACTTCAGTGAAGTAGGCTCATGTTATCTCTCATTTTATAATTATCTTTGACAGGGTTATTTAACCTCCGAGGTTCAGATATTGACTATAATCCAGTCTTCTTTGCATATACAATAGTGACAATGGATAACGTCAGGTAAGACTATTATCATATACTCTTGCTARCTGCATTTGTATGATTATTYGAATRTAACAAATATTWTTTTTCTTTCTCAGCTTATTCATTGAYGAAACAAAACTTGATGTTTCTGCAAGAARGCACCTTAGTATCAATGGTGATGGTGGAGATGGGGTTGACCTCATTATTCATGAATACAGTGATATAAAGTCTTCTGTTAAACAACTTGTTGAAAATGATAGAAAAATATGGGTATATTACATCTTAAACTATATGTTATAATTGTCACATCGTTATAATTGTCACATCTTAGTTCGTATTTTATTATTTTCTAAAATTGTTTTATTGTTTATCATCATGATATTTTACAGATCAGCAAAACGTCAAGTGTTGCACTGACTTCAATTGTTCCAGAGGTACCAGGACTTCTTGTGTGTTTGCTGCATTTGGGGATTGTACTCAGTTTTCCTTGTTCTCTAGTGTTGGAGTCTGTGCAGCACATTTGGTGATGGATATTTTTATCGTTTCTAGGCAAATCTCATCACTGAAAACTCTCCTATCACTTACCTCAAAGCATTGAAAAACAGCACTGAAATAGAGGGCATGAGACAGGCTCATGTGAGTGCATCTTGTAGTTTTATTTCATCTTGTTTTATTGTTTTGCATCCATAAGTACTATTGGTGTTCATAGTGTTCATGCTGAATGCAGTCCAGACTTTTACTCATGGTATTAGACATGGTAGACTTTCTTAGAAGTGTAATGAACTAAACACCAAGGTTACATACATTGTAATAGTTTCCAGTGACTGGTAATCATGGTAAACTCTGTTGTTTTGTCCAGATTCGTGATGCTGTTGCTCTCACCGAATTTTTCTGCTGGCTTGAGCAAGAGGTAAATAAGCAAAACTGTTAYYCAATAAAAKYAGYCAGGTTAATCATCAGGCAGTTGATTAAAATCCTCTAATCTTCCAGGTCCCAAAAGATGAATTAACTGAAATCACTGCATCTGATAAACTAGAGGAGTTGCGTAGGTATGAGTTCAGGGCTTTACTATAATTAGGGGAAGTTATTTTTTTTTTGTCAAACTGACATTTTATCTTGATGTCAATGCAGCTTTTGAGAGTGCTTCACGAACGTTTTTTGTAAACAAATAAATGTCTTTTGTATCTATATGGATGTCTATTTAGGGATCAAGATGATTTTGTAAGTCTCAGTTTCCCTACGATATCCGGTGTTGGATCAAATGGAGCCATTATTCATTATCGGTGAGATAATAATTACTTTATTGAGAATAAATGTTTTGACTTGTTTATTCAATTTTACATTCATCCATCAATTCGTCCATTTTTCCTTAGAAGACAAAAGCCTACCATAGGATTACTTTTATCATAGTACTTATTCGAGATAACTAAAGCGTTTTTAACAAATAATAGTTTTCTCAAAGCAGCTCTTATTCATTTTTGACAGGTCCTCTAAAGAAACAGATCGCATGATTTCAAGAAACGCGCTGTATTTGTGTGACTCTGGCGCCCAGTACAAGTACGTACAGACGATAAAAAAGGGATTAATAAAGCTTTAAGTTGTGTAATTATTCTAACTGTTTTGTCACTCTAGGGATGGTACAACCGATGTTACTCGTACAGTACATTTTGGAACACCAAATCGATATGAACAGGTATCTATACCATGTATCCCTCCCTCTCTTCCTCCCTCCCTCCCTCCCTCCCTCCCTCTCTTCCTCCCTC